CTGGTCAGTACTTACAATGCCACAGAATCATCGGTTGCCTCCTTCCACATCCACAGGGCACTCTTCAGTGAGGGAGAAATAATGCTCAAAATGCCACAGAACAATTGGACACCCCCCTTCCAGCTTCCACCAGTCATTCTTCAGTGAGCTCTCCAGACCAGGTTCCGAGACGAAAACCTTTCAAATAGGCCCTCCCTGCTAAGCCACAGCTGGGACCTCATTGAACACACTGCAGTGTTCCAGCAGCCTGCCCACAGGGGCAGAGCCCCCACACACTCCGTCTGCAGGAGTGGACGAAGGATCAACTAAACTCTGCTCCAGGCCTCAGACTATTTATGGATTCTCCAGCCCCCTAGTAGGCATGCCACCCCAGGGATTGGCTTAAACCCCATAAATATTAAGACTGCCTATCTGCTTTTCCACCCACTGTGATTCTAGAACCCTCTAAAATGCAGGAAAAAAATAATCAGACCAGTAGCCTGTGAATCACTGAGCAGGCCAACACAATCAACAACAACTCCACTGCCTACAGAGGAGCAAGACTAAGGGCTCGTTCACACTTGGCTGTTTTACCAACGCTTGCCAAACGCCCCTATAGCGTTTGGCAAGCGTTGGTCCGGCGTTTGTGGAGCGTTTTTTAACGCTCGGCAAACGCTCCGCAAACGCCGCATGCGCGGTTTAGGGGCGGTTGCTAGGCGTTTGCCGAGTGTTAATAACGCCCCACAAACGCCTATAATACAGTTTGAGTGGTGTTACTGCTCCGCAAACGCGTCGCCGGGCACCATAGACGAGAATAGGAGGCTTCAAAGCCTCCTGACTCGTCCAGAGGCGTCCGTTTTGCCGCGACGCAACGCGACACGACGCAAACGCTCCCGTTAGAACAGCACCATGTGCTGTAATGTGCAGAATTGGCAGAGGCGTTGGGGAAGCAGTAAAAACGCTTCCCAAACGCCTCTCTGCCGACTGCACACAAGGCTAGTGTGAACGTAGCCTAAATTTACCTAGCATCCTATACCCTAACTAGGAGGGACCTCCACCAGTAGCATTGGATATTTCGGGAAAAAGAAGGTGCTTGTGGAATTAATCTTCCCACTCATTACTCTGTGAGGACAGGATGAGAATAAACAAGACTGAAGGTGAAACAATGGAAGAGGCAGAGACCTCCAGCAGCACTAAGTATTTCAGATGATGAGGCTTTAGTTGTGCTGTAAAGGATTCTGGTTTCACGTTATTTATCTATATTGTATTTCTCCTACTTTTCCAGGAGACAGATTTCATAAACTCTGTTTACTTTCCCTTTTATTTATTGCCCTCTCTATGTATACCCTTAGGTTTTCGTTTAAATACTTGTAACTCTCCTCTCAGAAGAATTCCTCTGCATTAAAACAGATGTTCAATTTATTTTTCAAAGTGGTCGTAAACTCTTTTTGTACACTTTTACCTACAGGTAAGTTTATAATAAAGCTTGTAGGCAAAAGGAATATCTTCTAAGCGTGCGCCGTTTAGGAGATAGTCGCTCTTGTTGAGAGCCAGCGCATGTGCTCTGAAGGAACGGCATACCCGTGATTTTCCTTTAGAGCACTGTGCCGTGGTCCAGGACTCGTGGGTGCATGCCTGGGAGTGACGTCATCGTGGTTTGGACAGTCAGGTGGCCGGAGCTTGTGATGTGAAAGTGGAAAACACTCCTGTGCTTAGGGATGGAATCTATGTCATAGGGATCACACAAAGAATAGAGAGAAAACAGGTGGCGCACACACCTAGTGCATTATCCAAGGTTTATTGTAGGAATGAAATAATAAAAACATACTCACAGACGAAGCATGTATCTAAAAAGCATAGAAAAATGACAATGGCCACAACGGCGGGCAAGGTGTTCTCACTGTCAGTGCGGTCAAATGGCTGACGCGTTTCGGGGACGAATCCCTTTCCTCAGAGCTGATGACCAACCTCTGATGCTGATGTATGATGAATGGAAAGTAAGAGCCTCGCTGTTGATGCCTTGTTGGAATATGCATGCCTTGCTGCCCTCAGAGAACCGGGGAGTCCAAAAGTACTAATAGAGAAATAGAAAACAGAGGGCGCGTGGGCCTTGTGCATTACCTTTAAAAGTATGTTTATTAAATATAAAAGAAGGTATTCTACTCACAAACGTACATGACTGAGGGACATGCAGAATATCGAGGCTAGTACTTACCACCCAGGGGCAGACTGACCATTTGGAAACTTGGGCACTGCCCGAGGGCCCGGGGTCAGTAGGGGGCCCCATGAGATGCCCCTGGTACCTTTTTCATAGGCTTTTTTGAGTTTGGGCAAGGACACAGGGGCCCCATGATCCCCTATTGCCCCATGAGTTGTCAGTCCGCCCCTGTTACCACCTAAACCATAAAACTACCACCCCCCTTCAACCTCCTCCACCTAAATACCCACGCAACTCTCCTTTTGGTGGAAAAAACGGCCATAGCAGCCCATTTATTTAACATAACTCTTACATAACACTTCTTCTGGTACAATCAAATAATAATAACTGATATTAACAATCACAACCGGGTCCAAGGTCTTTGAAGGTACTGTTACTCACATCAATAACTCGGTTGTATGTGACGCCCAACTAAAAAGGCCCCCAGCCGCTGCCTCAGGGACAATACTACAGTTACGTAGTCCCAGATACAGCCAATGACCTCCCACCTTACCAACATGACCTTATAATTGGGAAGGGACAGCCATACCTACGATGGGCCCAACCCATAATCCACCAACTTGTCACTCCAGCACCGCTTTCAAAGACCCAACGACCCCTGCCGGCTGCCATGACAAAACAGAAAACCAGACAACACCACAGGACATCAAAATGGCGAGCAAGAAAGGAAACAAAGCAACGAAACCACACAAAACAACCACACGACAAACCCAAAAAGGACAAAACCAATAAACAAAACAAACAACAAAACAGCTCCAGGGAGGGAGGGCGGAAGAAACCTCACCCGTGCTGGCACATGCTTCGACTAACCTCCGACAAGTCCCAACCCCTCTCCTCATCCTAGCAGGACCACCCTCAAGTCCAATTGTTCCAATCAGGTGAGTAACCACCCCCATCTCCTATGCTCCCACCCAAATCCAGTCTCCGCCTCGTCTGCAACCCCCAGTCATGCTGGCCCTCCCTTCTAGCTTCGCTCAGTCCAGGCCCTGACTTGAATATAGGCACATCATACGAAACCACGCTGTCCAATTAACACCGCGTTTCTGAATGGGGATGAGAATGATGGACATCCAAAATGGCTAACGCGTTTCAAGGACTAGCCTCTTCCTCAGAGCCGGAGTTTGTGAACCCAGAAGGAAGACCAGGTGAAGATGGAACCCTCTGCAGTGGTGACTTTGTTTTTAAGGTAAGTCCTTCATAACGAGCTAGTATTTTTTTTTTTTTTTTTAGAAAAAGTGGCTTTGCAGATTGATCGGGTGTATTTGGGAATACAAATTTAATGGTTTGGTTTAGGGGCATGTTGTGACACAAGCGTCTTATATGTATGTGCACATTCTATATGTAGCGCCTGTCTATCTATGATTATTCGTTTGCAAAAGTTTCATATGACATAGTTACATAGTTAGTCTGGCTGAAAAAAGACAAAAGTCCCCCCAGTTCAACCATTAAAAAAAAAAGAATTTTATAATCCTACACCCACAGTTGATTCAGAGGAAGGCAAAAAAACCCAGCAAAGCACGATCCAAGCACGATCCTGCTCCTGCTGGGAAAAAAATTCCTTCCTGATCCCCCGAGAGGCAATATTTTTTAATTTTGGCGCCTTAATAAAAATTTTTCATTGACTGGGCAACACGTCTTGGTGACTGCACTGAGGCTAGGTTCACATCTATGCAGGTTGCAGTTGATGTGGGGGTTTTTTACGCGTTTTGCATTTTTTAACACGTGTTTTTGCAGCGTTTTACTTTTTGTTTTGTTTTTTTTGCTGATAGAAAGTTATGACAGTTCTTTCCATGTAGTGTGACTTTAATGCTGCTTTACACTCTCTGGCCCTCAAGTAGCATCATAGTTGCATCACATTAGTGCAGGAACCTTTATGTGACCAAAGTCGTATTATCACATACCTGGTGATGGAGGCCAATGGAGAGAGGGCTTCCCTTGCGGCTAAGTTCCGGACTCCCCTGAGAGTGGGTCACGGGAGTCAGGCCCAAAGTTGCACAGGTCGGCTGCAGGAGTGCTGGTTGGTGGTCCACTCAGAAGCACAGCTGGTGCACGGAGATAGGTCTGCAGACAGGAGGCGCCTGTGCGTGGTATGCAAGCCCTTCCGGGATTTGGATGTTTACTGGGTAGTCAGTTCAAGCCAAAGTCAGGTACCAGTGGGAATCAGAGCGGACGTAGTCAGATGGGACCTCGGCTAGGTCATACACAGAGGAGTCAGAGAGAGAGAGAGTATCCATAAGCCCAACCGAGGTCAGGCAGAGTAGACAGGTCCAGGAGCAAGCCGAGTCGGTATCAGGAAATCACGGGTCAAAGTCACAGGAACCAGGAACAGGGCACGGGGAGCTAGAGATCATCCAGCAACTTGAAGGGATGAGCCTCCTTATAAAGGCCGTCTGGCACCAAACTGAGGCCGATGTGTCCTTCTGCGGCCATGCAGAGTACTGGCAGAAATGCTAGTTCTTCCAGAACTTCTGCCGTGGGCAGGACCCTGACACATACGTTAGGGTTAGGGTTAGTGGTAATCGTTAAGGTTAGCATTTTGAACCCTGACAATTACCGCTAACCCTAACTCTATCTCTAGCCCTAATCGTAACATTAAATCCTAATAATTAAAGTGTTACTAAACCCACAACAGTAACATCAGTCTGTATATACAGTAAAGCATGCTCACTGTGGAACCTAAGGGGTTAATTCTCTGCTTTGTGTAAAAAGGCTGTTTGGCCCTGTCTTCTCTGATCCTCCCCCTTCTTCTACTGTCCCCTATCCATCTGCTGATAGAACAGGGCCCCTAGGGGACACTCTGCACATGCTCAGTTTGGTGTGTATGGCTAGAGAGTTTATTCTTTTTTCTTGGGAGAGTGCATGTGATCAGCACAGGGCCAATCGGCGCTGTCTAGACAGAGGGTTAGGGGTTATGCAGTCTCATAGGGAGAGAGGAGAATGAAAACTCCTCCTATAAACTTTAAACAGTGCTCTGCTGGACACTGATAGATGTCACAAGACTGCTATATACTGCTGATGAGAAAAGGTATTTAGCAGTTTATATTGACTAAAATAATAGCATTTTCATGTTCTGTGTGAGAGCGGATATAGTGAATGCAGGGTCCGGGGAGAGTGGATATAGTGAATGCGGGGTGCGGGAGACCGGTATAGTGAATGCGGGGTCCGGGGAGAACGGATATAGTGAATGCGGGGTCCGGGGAGGCGGATATAGTGAATGCGGGGTCCGGGGAGACCAGATATAGTGAATGCGGGGTGCGGGGAGACCGGATATAGTGAATGCAGGGTCCGGGGAGACCGGATATAGTGAATGCGGGGTCCATGGGAGAGCGGATATAGTGAATGCGGGGTCCATGGGAGAGCGGATATAGTGAATGCAGGGTCCGGGGAGAGCGGATATAGTGAATGCAGGGTCCGGGGAGAGCGGATATAGTGAATTCAGGGTCCGGGGAGACCGGATATAGTGAATGCGGGGTCCATGGGAGAGCGGATATAGTGAATGCGGGGTCCATGGGAGAGCGGATATAGTGAATGCAGGGTCCGGGGAGAGCGGATATAGTGAATGCAGGGTCCGGGAGAGCGGATATAGTGAATTGCAGGGTCTGGGGAGAGCGGATATAGTGAATGCAGGGTCCGGGGAGAGCGGATATAGTGAATGCGGGGTCCATGGGAGAGCGGATATAGTGAATGCGGGGTCCATGGGAGAGCGGATATAGTGAATGCAGGGTCCGGGGAGAGCGGATATAGTGAATGCAGGGTCCGGGGAGAGCGGATATAGTGAATTCAGGGTCCGGGGAGACCGGATATAGTGAATGCGGGGTCCATGGGAGAGAGGATATAGTGAATGCGGGGTCCATGGGAGAGCGGCTATAGTGAATGCAGGGTCCGGGGAGAGCGGATATAGTGAATGCAGGGTCCGGGGAGAGCGGATATAGTGAATTCAGGGTCCGGGGAGACCGGATATAGTGAATGCGGGGTCCATGGGAGAGAGCGGATATAGTGAATGCGGGGTCCATGGGAGAGCGGATATAGTGAATGCAGGGTCCGGGGAGAGCGGATATAGTGAATGCAGGGTCCGGGGAGAGCGGATATAGTGAATGCAGGGTCTGGGGAGAGCGGATATAGTGAATGCAGGGTCCGGGGAGAGCGGATATAGTGAATGCAGGGTCCGGGGAGACCAGATATAGGGAATGCAGGGTCCGGGGAGACCAGATATAGGGAATGCAGGGTCCGGGGAGACCAGATATAGGGAATGCAGGGTCCTGGGAGACCAGAAATAGGGAATGCAGGGTCCGGGGAGACCAGATATAGGGAATGCAGGGTCCGGGGAGACCAGATATAGTGAATGCAGGGTCCGGGGAGAGCAGATATAGTGAATGCAGGGTGCGGGGGAGACCAGATATAGGGAATGCAGGGTCCGGGGAGACCAGATATAGGGAATGCAGGGTCCTGGGGAGACCAGAAATAGGGAATGCGGGGTCCGGGGAGACCGGATATAGTGAATGCGGGGTCCGGGGAGAGCGGATATAGTGAATGCAGGGTCCGGGGAGACCAGATATAGGGAATGCGGGGTCCGGGGAGAGCGGATATAGTGAATGCAGGGTGCGGGGAGACCAGATATAGGGAATGCAGGGTCCGGGGAGACCGGATATAGTAAATGCAGGGTACTGGGTTTAGTAGCACTTTACCATTTAACCCTACAAGTACATGCACATCAGTCCCTAACCCTCAAGGGGCGTACAATCTAAGGTCCCTAACTCACATTCATACATACACATACTAGGGACAATTTAGACAGGATCCAATTAACCTACCAGCATGTCTTTGGAGTGTGGGAGGAAACCAGGGAAGTACCTGGAAAACCACACAGGCACAGGGAGAACATGCAAACTCCAGGCAGGTGGTGCTGTGGTTGGGATTCAAACCAGCGACCCTAGTCCTGCCAGGCAGATGTGCTAACTATTTAGCCACTGTGCTCCTTATTGGCCCCTTGTGCTTCTTCTGCCTCCCCAATTCTGAGGTCTGCTGTACACGGACTGCAAGAGGCTGAAATCAAATTGAGTTGCTTACATTACTTGCACTTAAAAAAAAATATCTTTAATAATATATTAATAAACGCAGAGCTGCAATATTCTGTATATTATATATATATATATATATATATATATATATATATAAAATATATACAGAATACAGTATATATATATATACAGTCAGGTCCATAAATATTGGGACATCGACACAATTCTAACATTTTTGGCTCTATACACCACCACAATGGATTTGAAATGAAACGAACAAGATGTGCTTTAACTGCAGACTGTCAGCTTTAATTTGAGGGTATTTACATCCAAATCAGGTGAACGGTGTAGGAATTACAACAGTTTGCATATGTGCCTCCCACTTTTTAAGGGACCAAAAGTAATGGGACAATTGGCTTCTCAGCTGTTCCATGGCCAGGTGTGTGTTATTCTCTCATTATCCCAATTACAATGAGCAGATAAAAGGTCCAGAGTGCATTTCAAGTGTGCTATTTGCATTTGGAATCTGTTTCTGTCAAATCTCAAGATGAGATCCAAAGAGCTGTCACTATCAGTGAAGCAAGCCATCATTAGGCTGAAAAAACAAAAACAAACCCATCAGAGAGATAGCAAAAACATTCGGCGTGGCCAAAACAACTGTTTGGAACATTCTTAAAAAAAAAAAGGAACGCACTGGTGAGCTCAGCAACACCAAAAGACCCGGAAGACCATGTAAAAAAACTGTGGTGGATGACAAAGAATTCTTTCCCTGGTGAAGAAAACACCCTTCACAACAGTTGGCCAGATCAAGAACACTCTCCAGGAGGTAGGTGTATGTGTGTCAAAGTCACCAATCAAGAGAAGACTTCACCAGAGTGAATACAGAGGGTTCACCACAAGATGGAAACCATTGGTGAGCCTCAAAAACAGGAAGGCCAGATTAGAGTTTGCCAAACGACATGTAAAAAAGCCTTCACAGTTCTGGAACAACATCCTATGGACAGATGAGACCGACATCAACTTGTACCAGAGTGATGGGAAGAGAAGAGTATGGAGAAGGAACTGCTCATGATCCTAAGCATACCACCTCAACAGTGAAGCATGGTGGTGGTAGTGTCATGGCGTGGGCATGTATGGCTGCCAATGGAACTGGTTCTCTTGTATTTATTGATGATGTGACTGCTGATAAAAGCAGCCGGATGAATTGTGAAGTGTTTCGGGAATATTATCTGCTCATATTCAGCCAAATGCTTCACAACTCATTGGACGCTTCACAGTGCAGATGGACAATGACCCAAAGCAGACTGCAAAAGCAACCAAAGAGTTTTTTAAGGGAAAGAAGTGGAATGTTATGCAATGGCCAAGTCAATCACCTGACCTGAATCCGATTGAGCATTTCACTTGCTGAAGACAAAAAACTGAAGGGAAAATGCCCCAAAGCAAGAACAAGGGAACTGAAGACAGTTGCAGTAGAGGCCTGGCAGAGCATCACCAGGGATGAAACCCAGCGTCTGGTGATGTCTATGCGTTCCAGACTTCAGGCTGTAATTGACTGCAAAGGATTTGCAACCAAGTATTAAAATGTGAAAGTTTGATTTATGATTATTATTCTGTCCCATTACTTTTGGTCCCTTAAAAAGTGGGAGGCACATATGCAAACTGTTGTAATTCCTACACCGTTCACCTGATTTGGATGTAAATACAGTCAAATTAAAGCTGACAGTCTGCAGTTAAAACATATCTTGTTCGTTTCATTTCAAATCCATTGTGGTGGTGTATAGAGCCAAAATGTTAGAATTGTGTCGATGTCCCAATATTTATGGACCTGACTGTATATATATATATATATATATATATATATATATATACATTTTATATCTGCCCGAAGTTCAGACACTCAAATGACAAAAAAAAACCCCACAGACACCCCTATATTTACACGGGTTACCTGTGGGTACTGAAACCATTGCCGTTCTCTGAAAGCAGCCTCCTCCGGCCTGAATTACAGTTTCCACTAATAAATGGGTAATTACCGATGTAAACTTTTTTTTTTAACTGCTGTGTTGCAGTGTTGTGCCGTCATTGTCTGCGGAACGGCTGTGTAATAAATTAACTTGTCAGTAAGACAGCACATGTAATAATGGTATTCTGCCTGTCCAATATGCAAATACAGGCCGGATTTACACAACTATTCAATTTTTCCCTGTTCTCAAACCTCCAATTAAAACTGACAAAGATTAGCTCTTTAACCCCTTCCCGGCTGGCACGGGGCTCAGGGTGCACTGCGCAAGACTGTGGGTGGCGAAGTATGGAGGCCATGAATGGGTTAATGTACATTCTACAGCACAAAGATTGTTTACAGGAATGTATGCATCACATCCGATGGAGAATGGGACCATCTGAGAGCATTGCAGTGGAGGATCAGGATAGACAGACAGATAGATAGATGGATAGATAGATAGATAGATAGATAGATAGATAGATAGATAGATAGATAGATAGATAGATAGATAGATAGATAGATAGATAGATAGATAGATAGATAGATAGATAGATAGATAGATAGATAGATAGATAATAGATAGATAGATAATAGATAGATAGATAGATAGATAGATAGATAGATAGATAGATAGATAGATAGATAGATAGATAGATAGATAATAGATAGATAGATAGATAGATAGATAGATAGATAGATAATAGATAGATAGATATAGATAGATAGATAGATAGATAGATAGATAGATAGATAGATAATAGATAGATAGATAGATAGATAGATAGATAGATAGATAGATAGATAGATAGATAGATAGATAGATAGATAGATAGATAGATCGATAGATAGATAGATAGATAGATAGATAGATAGATAGATATATAGATAGATAGATAGATAGATAGATAATAGATAGATAGATAGATAGATAGATAGATAGATAGATAGATAGATAGATAGATAGATAGATAGATAATAGATAGATAATAGATAGATAGATAGATAGATAGATAGATAATAGATAGATAGATAGATAGATAGATAGATAGATAGATAGATAGATAGATAGATAGATAGATAGATAGATAATAGATAGATAATAGATAGATAGATAGATAGATAGATAGATAGATAGATAGATAGATAGATAATAGATAGATAGATAGATAGATAGATAGATAGATAGATAGATAATAGATAGATAGATAGATAGATAGATAGATAGATAGATAGATAGATAAAGAAAGAAAAAAATGGCATTCAAATAATTGATATTATATGAATTTGATTTCTTCCTCTCCAAAATGTTGGGCTCTGATGTGAAGAGGGGACTGTGTGATTGGGAGTCTCTGTGATGGAAGACTGTGTGATTGGGGTTCTCTGTGATGGAGGACTGTGTGATTGGGGGTCTCTGTGATGGAGGACTGTGTGATTGGGGGTCTCTGTGATTGGTGGGCTCTGTGATGCGGGACTGTCTGATTGGGGGTCTCTGTGATGGGGGACTGTGTGTATAGGGGTCTCTTTGATGGGGGGGGCTTTGTGATTGGGAGGCTCTGTGATGGGGGACTGTGATTGGTGCACTCTATGATGGGGGAATTGTGTGATTGGGGGGCTCTGTGATGGGGGACTGTGTGTATCGGGGTCTCTTTATTGGGGGGGCTGTGTGATTGGTGCACTCTGTGATGGGGGGACTGTGTGATTGGGGGGCTCTGTGATGGGGGGTGGACTATGTAATTGGGGGGTTCTGTTATGGTGGGGCTCTGTGACGGGAGGACTCTGTGACTGGATGATTGTATGCTTGGGGGCTCTGTGATTAGAGGCCCTTTGATGCATCACATAAAGGACTATGGAATGGGAGGTCTTTTTTTATGGAGGGACTGTGATGTGATGGGGGAGCTTTCATATGTAGGGGGGCTTTTTGATGTATAGGGAGGTCTCTGATGAGATGGGGTTCTGTAAAAGGGGGGTGGACTGTGTGATTGGGGGGAATGTGTGATTGGATGATCTGTGATGATGGGGACTGTGTGATTGAGGGGCTGTGTGATTGATGGGCTCTGTGATGGGCAGCCTTTGTGATTGGGGGGCTTTGTGATAGGAGAGTGGACTGTGTGATTGGGGAGTCTTGTGTTAGGGGGGTTCTGTGATGGGGGACTGTGTGACTGGGGGCTCTGTCATAGAGGAACTGAATGTTTGGG